CCGCGGCTGGTGCACTGCGGCTGGCACACCGCGCTGATCTGAAGGCAGGAGCCAGGTGCTTATCCTGGTCTCCCATGCGGGTGCAGAGCCCAACCACTTGGGCCATCCTCCACTGCACTCCCTGGCCACAGCAGAGAGCTGGCCTGGAAGAGGGGCAACCGGGACAGAATCCAGCACCCCGACCGGGACTAGAACCCAGTGTGCCGGCGCTGCGGCTCAATAGGCTAATCCTCCACCTTGCGGCGCTGGCTTAGTGATACATACTCTTTATAAGAGAAAACATGATATTTGTTTGGGTTGGGCTTCGTTCCCTTAGCATAATGATTTTCAGTTCCATCCATTTTGTGGCAAATGTCAAGATTTCAATCTTATTTTATGACTGAGAATAGTCTATCCTGTATATATTACACATTCTTTTTATCCACTCATCAGTTGATAGATATGTAGGCTAATTCCAGACCTTTGTAATTGAGAATTTGGCTGCTATAAATATAGTAGTGGAGATCTGTCTTTCATATGCTGATTTCACTTCCTTTGGATATTTCCCAAAAGTGGGATAACTAGGTCATATGGCAGATCCATTTTGGGTTCTTTGATCAATCTCCATACTATTTTCCATAATGGTTGTACCAATTCACATTTCTACCAGCAGTGTAAAAGGGTACCCTTTTCCCTACAACCCCAGCAGAATTTGTTATTTTTGATTTTTGTATAATAGCCATTCTAACTGGAATGAGATAATACCTCACTGTGGATTTTATTTACATTTTCCTGATGGCTAGTAATCCTGAGCATTTTTTCACATATCTTATGGTCATTTGTATTTCTTCCTTTCAAATATATTTATTCAATCCTTTGCCCACTTCTTAACTGGATCATTTATTTTGTTATTGAGTTTCTTGAGTTCTTTATATATTCTGGATATTAATCTTTTATCAGATCACACTTTGCAAATATTTTCTCCAATTCTGTCACTTGTTCTCTCTCTTTGTTAACTGTTTTGTTTGCTGGGCAGAAGCTTCTTAGGTTGGCATAATCTCATCTGCCTGTTTTTGCTTTAATTTTGCCTGTGCTTTGGGGGTCTTACCCAAAAAGTCTTTGCCTAGTCCAATGTCTTCCACTGTTTCTCCTATGTTTTTTCTATAGTAGTTTGGTAGGTTCTGTTCTTAAGTTTAGATCTTTAATCTATTTTGAGTTGATTTTTGTATAGGGTATAAGGTAGAGATCTTGTTTCAAGTTTATGATTAGGAAATATAATTTTCCCACCACCATTTTTTGAAGAGACTGTCCTTTCTCTAGGGAATTCTTTTTGCATGTTTATCAAAGATTAACTGGTAATAGTTTTATTTCTGGGGCTTCTACTCTGTTTCATGGCTCTATGTGTCTATTTTTGTGCTAGCACTATGCTATTTTTCTTTCTCTCTCTCTCACTTTTTTTGTTTGTTTGTTTTGTTTTGTTTTTAGATGTCTTCCATCCACTGGTTCACTCCCCAAATAGCCACAACATCTGGGGCTAGTCCAAGCCAAAGCCAGGAGCATGGAGCTTCCTTTGGGTCCAAGAGCCCAAGGACTTGGGCCCTCTTCCAGTGCTTTCCCAAGCTATTAGCAGAGAGCTGGATTGGAAGCACATCATCTGGGACTCAACCCGGTGCTCATATGGGACACAGAAATCTCAGGCAGCAGCCTTACCTGATATACCACAACACCAGCCACAACATTATGCTATTTTGATTATAATAACAGTATATCTAGAGATCTGGTATGTGATGACTCCTGCTTTGTTTTTATTGTATAATGTTGCTTGGTTATTTGGAATCTTTTGTGTTTCCATATAAATTCCAGGATTTTTTTTCCTAGTTTTGTGGAAAATGTTTTGATGGAGTTTTGATGGAGGTTGAATTGAATCTGAAAATTGCTTTGGGTAATTTTTCTTTCTTAAGGAAAAAATCCAGACATTGCACTAGTACAATAATTCTCCATCTTCAAGTCAAATAGTATATTGTATCTCTATTTTCTATGCCGTCTTGCCTATTTTCAAGTTTAATGTTAGCATCAAGTGAGATAAACAGCATTAATATAAACACTTTGGAAAATACATCATTACAAATAACTATGTTGAAACTACCCTAAAACATAAACATTGAACATCCATGTATTTTGGTATTTTCAGGCATTTGGAACAATGCCTCATGGATCCTGAGGACTGTGTGTATACATATTTACGGTACTTGATAGGTAATTTCCTTTACCAAATTCCAACATCCTTGCTTTCCGTAACAATTTTTCCTTGTGAAACTTCACTATAACACTAATTTTCTACATGTTGTATGTACTATATACCTAGACTTGATCATATCATGTATTATGATTTGTGTATCAGCCTTATTTATTACTGAATAGAAACACATTAACATTTTCATGAATAATAAAGTTGAATATGTCTATAAAAGAACAATGAAAATAGAAGGACCTATTTCAGACTAAAGGGATACTGATATCATTACCTTAATAACCGTAAAAAAGGAGAAGTAGCTTAGAAAATACTTGTGTGGATAGAAGTAAATATATTTTAGAAGAAAACTTATTAACAAGGAATGTTTCAGGAAATACATCTTGGGTAAGTACACTGAGGCTGAATTTATAAAGAATGTGGGTTTCTTTGCTATAAAACTACCATTTCATTCTAGGCTAAAAAGAGGACCAAACTGAAATAGTCAAGCAACATATATTTCTCAGAATCAATACAAATTCATATTTTCTCATCTATTAAGAATATCAATCAGTTTTAAAATAATAAATGATAGAAAAATTTAAACCAAGTTAACAAACAATCTGCTATGTAAACTCACTAGTTGGATAATTTTATTCTTATGCAGAGCAATTGTTTATACTAAATTTTGAATATTCAGAAATTAACATAATGGTTTTAAACTAATGTCATTAAAGAACAGTAATTATTTTAAAATGTCACAAACATGGATTTAAACCTTAGATATTATATTTTTAAAAACGTTAATATTAAGTGGTTACAGGTCTTGCCAGCAACCAGAACTTATACTTTAGTCACAAATAAAAAGAACACAGGTTAGAAAAGAGACTCAGGATTTTGAAAATAAAAATGTGACATCTCAAGTACTAAACTGGAAAGCGTCATTGAGCATGATGGGGTGCAGGACACACATGCTCCAAATATGGCACCTGGGCCATATTTTAGAAGGGTCTCTCTTACCTTCCCTGCATCCTTCTCCCCTGAAGAGAAATTGTTTAAAACTCTCAAAGAATAGGTGCCTTCCTTCATTTTACCCGAAGGAAGGGAACATCCTAATCTCTGATGATACAGAGAGATCTGAACAAACAGATCTTGTTAAATTCACCTGTTTATTGCATAGATCGTACTGTGTTTCTCCATTCATACTCCTCAAGAGTGCCCACTCTGCATAAAACTTAAAAAATAAAAGAACACATTTTTCCATTTGTTTGGGTCTTTATCTCTGAAGGCTCCTGTGCCACATAAAACCTACATTAGATATATTTGTATGCTTTCTCTTGTTAATCTTTTATTAGTTGTCTCAGCCATGGACTCAGTGATAGATGAGAAAAGAAAACTTTCCACCCCTACATGCAAAAACCCACATGCTTAAAGAGTAGCAGGTACTGTGGGTGGGTGATGAGGAAGCATATTGTCTCACTGAGAGGACAATGCACATGACAAATTGATTTTGGGGAGCTACAAAGTGATGGGGCTACAGATACAAAAAAATAAAACAACTTTGATCTGATCTATAATAGCACAGTGTGGATGAAAGAGAGAACTGAATCAAAATTTGAACAGAAGATGATACAAATTGGTAATAAGAAAGTTACTTTTTTTTTTTTTTTTTTGACAGGCAGAGTGGACAGTAAGAGAGAGAGAGACAGAGAGAAAGGTCTTCCTTTGCTGTTGGTTCACCCTCCAATGGCCATCGCGGCACTGATCAGCGCACCGCACTGATCCGATGGCAGGAGCCAGGTACTTATCCTGGTCTCCCATGGGGTGCAGGGCCCAACCACTTGGGCCATCCTCCACTGTACTTCCCTGGCCACAGCAGAGAGCTGGCGTGGAAGAGGGGCAACCGGGACAGAATCCGGCTCCCCGACTGGGACTAGAACCTGGTGTGCCGGCGCCGCAAGGCGGAGGATTAGCCTAGTGAGCCGCGGCGCCGGCCCAAGAAAGTTACTTTTATAACACCAAGCAAAGACAGGGCTATGGGAATATGTGCAGTGTGGCTGAATTCTAGCTAAGCATTTTCATACTCTCTGTAAAATGTGAAATACATCATCTATAAAAAGTGGCAAGAAGATAGATGTTATGGACCTTCAACAGTATATCTTTTTTATTTAAAAAAAAACATTTTTTCCAACACTTCTCTGGTAACCTGGTAAGTGTTAAAGTGCTTTCCTATCCTTAATTTATATTTTTTTTAAAACTTACTGAGTTTCTTTTACATATAGAAGCTATCAATGTTTTACTCTCCTCAGGAATATTTCTAGGTGCCTTAGCACACTACTACAACCTTTTTTTAATCAGGTGGATATTTGAGTATTCCATTCTTTAGAATTTAGTTACATTTCACTTTTAAAAATATTGAACAATGAAGTATTACTTCTCCATACTTATAGCTCTTATATATGAAGTCTAACAAACTTTTTCATAATTGATTCCATGTTTCCTTGATTCAAGTTTTAAAATATTACAATTTTCTTTTTTCTTTAGAGTAGAAAACTAATTAATTTAGATGTCCACTTAGTTACAAAGGATTTTATTACTATTTTATACTAGTGAACACCTATGATCCTCAAATGCAAACAAAAAATAAATAATTTAAATTTAAATGTCATTTATTTAATTGCAAATAAATAATTCTTCAAGAAACTAAAAGCTCCAGTAGTTTATTCTCTTAAAGAATGAGAATACTTCCTATTTTGTCTTAGAAAGAAAAACGAAAATTTAAAGGATTTACCATTTCCAGTTTCTCTACCTTCAAGCGAACAGAGGGATTTAGGGAAATCTTCTTTCCTTGTGGCCCATAATTATCAGTCCAGGCAGCAACAGTACCTAAGAGACAACAGGGTGCACACTAATTGGAATCTTAATTGGAACAGAACTTTTCATTTAACAGGATGTATTCTCTGTTCCTGCTGTTCAAAAATAATTCTGGCTAATAAGTTGGCAGTTTTCATTTTTGTTTTCATGATTTTTTCTTTAAGTCTAAAATGTATCATATAAATCAGCATCACTTGAGCCCTAAAGGATATAATATAAAAAGATTGGCCAATTATGCCCTGTTAAGTCCCATGGAAATAAGAACCTAAAAGACAAACATATACCCCACTACTACTATCATTGTCACAATACCTTACTAATTGCAAGATTAAAAGTCTTTTTTGGTTCAAAAAAGGGTAAAATCATATGAGAGATTCAAAAAGATTATGTTACTTTGGCAAAAGAAATTCTGTTATGTCAAATCTGGAAATACTCTGGAAAAAGCCATACATATGCAAATCATTCCAAGTTTACATATAAAGAATGATATGGATATACAGCTTTTTGAGCTAAAAACCTTTTACTTTATAGAAGAGTTATATTTCAAATGGCATAAGTGGACTTTCAAGTACAGAGTCCTATACATGTCACTGCAAGTTATCAAGTACCTTTATTATTTACACAAGTCTTTGTCTTGTTGTATAAAAAAAATCACATGCCACAGGAAATAGAACTTGAAAAGCTATTTGTTTTAATATGCCAAAGTTTGTAAAACAAATTACCATAATTCATGTCAATTCTTACTAACTAAATTGTCACTATTCTAAGTACTCTTTTAAGTGGTATTTTACTAGTTCTACATAGAAACAAGAGGAAGAGAAAAAACTTTTTAAAATGTCACATCTTTATGCAGTGTTTTAATTTTTTTTTAATTTCTCAGAGCATCTGTCTCTAAGTACAAAATGATTTGCATTCTCTTTCTTAAGAACATAAGAAGTGCATATGAAAATAAATAGTCTTCCTCTAAACCTTTAACACATCCTTAACATTCTATGTAAAATCTTTAATATAGCTTATAGGTGTCAAGATTATAAAAAAAAATGGTTACTGACTTTTCGGTCCAAAATGAATTAAATCTTGAGAAAGACTTCTTTTAGTATAATAGAATTTTTATAAATTTGATAAAAATAACAAGAAAATCTCCTTCTTTATCACGATAATTAAATGTGGGCCATGAGATAAATATATAAATCCATAAAACATATAAAGTCTATGTAGAAGCATATGTATGTATAAACATCTATCTCTCTCAAGAGGGTGGCATAAGTAGTAAGAACAGAGTAGAATGGTAAAGAAGATCCAACAGCAGATAAGTCAGCTTTGCTTGTCATCTTCTAGGTTTGGACTTGTACGGCCTGAAAATGACATCCAGTTAGGTGTTTCACCTGCAGCTAAGGCACACTATCACTGGGTAGAACCATGCTAACCTCGTTATGGTTTCAGACCAACACCAGCACTGGACTTAATTATTCAATTTAGTGTAAGTATATAGAAGCATTGCAACGGAGGTGAGAATAAGTGGAAAGAAGAGAAAGACAGAAAAAGACACAAGGTCACACCAAAATGTGCCACACTGAAGCATGCACTCTGATTTAAATTTTTCTACATCTAAGCATAATGATTCGCCATGTCTGTGAATATGAATGAATAATAATAAAAGATAAGCCTCTATTTATGCAAATTCTAGCCAGGCAATAAAGTAATTACACATATAAGCTCATTAATCTTCACAATAACCACAGTGATGTAGATGTTATTATTCTCAACTAAAAGACAAAGGCCAAAAAAGGTAAAGAAATTAGCCAAAGGTCACAGGGCTACTCTGTGTCAATGTTCGGTCAGGTACATTTCACTTGTAACTCCAGAAAACTAACCTTCTGTGTCAGTATCTCTTATCGCCAATTTTCTCATCTTGAGGAGTTAAAAACTAAAACCAATAAAATTACAAAAAACTATGATGGCAGCTATGAAGTATGGTTAATATTCACATAAGGACATATATTAAAAAATTTAATACAAAATTCTACAAGCCCTACTTAACAATACATAGTCATGGCTTAACAAAATTTTGTTTTCTTTCAGACTACTTTCCTGTAAATCTTTGCTTTTGGATTAAAATTTTAAGATGATCTGTAAATAAATTCAGCATGCTTTGACAACTCAGAGTTGCTTGACCCAAAAAGCCCCTTTAAGACAGTTATCCTAATTTGTCTGTGGTTTCTTTCTGTTCCAGCCTCAAACTCCCATTTGTTCCATCTGGAGAGATATTTTTTAAAGTACAGCATACCACTTTCCTAGATCTTCTTCTATACCAATTCCTCTTTTTAGGAAAAGAAAGGGAATGTTTTATAAGAGTGGCATCAATTACATTTGATTAATTGCATGAATCCTTGATAAATATTTTTTCCCATCAGTACTTGTTTCAGAATCCAAAGACTTAATGTAAAAAAATTTAGGCTTGTGATATTGTTAAATTAGTGATATTATTTCTTTATGCAACGTTCTGTTTTGATTCTTTCAAGAATATCTTTAGGAGCTGATGTTGTGGTGTAGAAGGTTAAGCCTCTGCCTTCAGTGCCAGCATCCCACATGGGTGCTGGTTGAAATATTGGCTGCTCCACTTACAAACCAGCTCCCTGCCAATGTTCCTGGGAAAGCAATGGAAGATGGCTCAAGCGCGTGGGCCTCTGAATCATTCTGGGAGACCCAGAAGAGGCTCCTGGATCCTGGCTTCAGCCTGGCCCAGCACTGGCCATTGTGGCCATTTGGGTGTGAATCAGGGGATTGAATAATATTTTTAGACCTTTTAAAACTCTTTTTATTCTTGTTATTACTGTATTCTGAAAAATCACTTGGAAACACATGAGGGTACACCAAGAAAATAATGGAAAACAGAATCAAAAGATTATTTTGGTGCTAAAAAAAATCAAAATCTACGCAGACAAGTGATCTCTACAAAGTTCATGAAAATTGTGCACATAATAATATTTTATGATTTAATCAAGGAATAAAAGACTCTGACTTCCATAATTTAGCAACTTTGATTCCAGAGTCTCTCATGACTATTTGCTTCATTCTTCTATTTTCCCAATTTAAAAAAGTGTATTTAGGGGGCTTGCGCTGTGGAGCAGTGGGTTAATGCCCTGGCCTGAAGCACCTGCACCCCATTTGGGCACCGGTTAGAGATCTGGCTGCTCTACTTCCTACCCAGCACTCTGCTGTGGCCTGGGAAAGCAGTAGAGGATGGCCCAAGTGTTTTGGCCCCTGTACCCACGTGGGAGACCCGTAAGAAGCTCCTGTCTCCTGACTTCGGATTGGTGCAGCTCTAGCTGTTGCAGCCATCTGGAGAGTAAACCAGCGGGTGGAAGATCTCTCTCTCTCTGCCTCTCCTCTCTCTGTGTAACTCTTTCAAATAAATAAATAAATCTTTAAAAAATAAGTATATTTAGAGATAGACTAATTCTTCTTTATTTCGAGATTATCATCTAGACAATGCTATCAAAAATTAAAATATATGGGAAGAAATTTGCATTATTATTTAGCCATATGTAAATTGGCTTTTCATTTATATTAACTACAATTTTTTAAAATATTTTTCTGTTTAACTTTTGGAAATAATTTTAGGGGAAGGTTTTTTTTCTTGACAGCTTTGCCAACAAGTACAACTTGGTAAAAATTCTTGTTTAATTTTTAGATAATTAATGGTTTGCTGTTTTAAAAAGATAGTAAATCATTTCATGGTATATAGGAATCAACAGTACTGCATTAATGATATTAATGTCCATTCTAAACTTAAATACATGTGATTTTTTCCAAACAAATGAAACATGTCTTTTTTTTAAGTTTTAAACATATGTTTTCTTAAGCTATTTTCCTTTTCATAATGGGTTTGTTGAAAAGTGCATTTAATATAGTTTACCACTATTTCACTAAAAGGACGAGGCCCCCTAATCCTGATAGAAGACTTTTCTGTATTTCATTTCAACAATTCATTAACTATTATAGCTTCACAGATGGTTATTATAATGCACTTTTAAAAATTTCAACCCTTTGCTCATGGAAATTTCCAATAAATGTCATAATTTAACAGGGACCACTGGACAATACATTCATTTAGCTCTTTCATTCACTGAAGAAAAAAGCCACAATGCACCCTTCTTTAAAGTCTATTAAAGTCATATTATGTACTCCTCATTGAGAGAGTAACTGAAAAAAAAAAATAACAGAAGAAGAATTAAATGTGCATTTACCTGAATTAGATATATCTGTAGGGTTGTTGTCTGAAGAAGTAATTGAAGTATATTCTGCTTTCTTGTATCCAGTTTTTGTCTGTGAAAGAAAATTGTCATTTTGTAAAGTAGGTCAAAGACCAGACCAAAAGCTCCTATCCAATGTAAAAACAATGGTTAAAAAGATTAAAGCAATATTCCAGAAAAATGAAACTTCTAAAATATTCATTTTAAACAATGCATTTCAGAAAGAATGGTAACAACTGCTTTCAGCTCTACCATGTCCAAGGGTAGCAAAATAGAAGGTCACGCTCTGTGTCTTTTAAATGGTATTTCAACTATTACAAAGTAGAAGGACTGACAGAAAATCAACACTGTGACCTGCACGTACCTGAAACTGAAATTACCTTTGTGGAATTTCATTCCACTGACTTAAAACATGACCTAAGTTTTCTATTTTATTATAGCTAACACAGAATAAAATAATATAAGTTCTTTGTTGTAAGATGCTTATAGTTTATAAAGTTTTACATAATTCTGGCATATGGACCTTTCTTATTATAATCTGACCCTCATCAACTCTGGCAATATTTCTGCCTTTGAGTCCATTATCTAAAACGTTAATATATTTACTTCATTTCTTTCACAAATTACTATTTGAATGGATTTTTAAAAAATTCTTTTACACTCAATCTATTCGTGTCCTTGAATCTTAAGTGTTTCTCGTGTTGGTAGTATATAGTTAGACTTGCGTTTCATTGTTTCATAACAGAAACTGAGAGATTTTTGAGGAAAATCAGGCAAACAGTTTAAATTAGAGACGTGGATGCTCCATATTTTTATTTTCAGAAATAGATGGAAAAACTAGACAAAAAAATCAATAAGGATAGAGAAGTCTTAAAAAATATTGTCAACCCACTTGACCTAACTCTAATATGATGCTTCTTCAAGATATACCCTATTTCTTGTTCTAGGCCATAAAAAATTTCAATAGATTTAACAATGAAAACCATACAGAAGAAGCTTTCTGATCACAATGGAATTAAATTTTAAAAACAAAAGAAGGAATTGAAAATATCACCCAAATATTTGGAAATTAAACACACACACACACACACACACACACTTTCAAATAACGTTTCAGGAACAACATCATAGCAGAGTAGATTAAGCTTCTGCTTGGGACACTTGCATCGCCTATTCTGATCAAGCTTCCTGTTCATGTATCCTGAAAGGTAGCAGATGATAGCTCAAGTGCTTGGGCCCTTCCACTCATTTGGAAGTCATGGATGGAAATTTGGTCTCCTGATTCCAGTCTGGTCCAGCCCTGGCTGTTCTAGTCATCTGAAGAGTGAACTAGTGGGGGCTGGCACCGTGGTGTAGCAGGTGGGGCCACTGCTTGCAGTGCCGGCATTCCAGATGGGCACTGGTTCGAGTGAGTGCTGGTTCGAGTCCCGGCTGCTCCACTTTCAATCTAGCTCTCTGCTAAGGCCTGGGGAAGCAGGAGAAGATGGCCCGAGTCCTTGGGACCCTGCACCTGTGTGGGAGACCCAGAAGTAGCTCCTGGCTCCTGGCTTTGGATCAGCACAGCTCTGGCTGTTGTGGCCAATTGGGGAGTGAACCAGCAGATGGAAGACCTCTCTCTCTCTCCTTTTCCTTCTCTGTATAACTGACTTTCAAATAAATAAATGAATCTTTTTTTTTAAATAAAGAGTGAACTAGTGGATCAAAGATTTCAATAGCTCTTTCTCTGTGTTTGTGTCTGTGTGTCCCTCCCTCATTCTCCCCTTTCCTTCTGTCACTTCAACTTTCAAGTAGAGGAAAATAAATATATAAATATTTTAAAAATATATCAAAAAATAGGGAAATTAGAAAAGTGATATAGAAAAATGTAAAACACATACAAAATAATATATGCTCTATTTAATTTTTAAAGTATTTATTTAGTTAATTATTTGAAAGATAGAGTGCCAGAGAGAAAGAGGGAGAGAGAGAGATGAAGATAGAGAAAAATTGATCAATCCACCACTCATTGGTTCACTTTCCAAATGGCTGCAACAATCAGGTCTGAAGTCAGGTGACAGCTCCAGTCAGGTGTCCAACATGAGTGGCAGGGACCCAAGTACTTGGGCCATCATCTGCTGCCTCCCAGGTGCATTAGCAGGGAGTTGGGTCAGAAGCAGAGCAGCTGAGACACTATATTATGGAATGCTGGCATCCCAAGAAGCAGCTTAATTCATTTCGCCACAATGAAGGCCCCTATATGCTTATTTTTTTTGTGGTGATTTGTTAGGACACTACAACAGTTAATAATAGATTATATTAATTTTGGCACAGAAATTTATGTTGTATTATTGTAATAGTATGAACTATATTCTAGCATACAAAGAAGAGGGCACAATATGCACCTGGACTAGATGATTGGGATTGGCCTCACTGTGTAGGAAAGAAAATAAGAACAATAAAAAAAGATTGCCTGGTTTTAGTCGAACAAAAAATAGAAATTACTAACTAAGCATATTAGAGACTGTCTGAAACTAAGTATTATACTCCTAACATAATCGAGTGACATCTATGCATGTCTTTGTGGCCCCATTTTGTCATGCTGATAATTCCTAAGTGATCGTGCTTCTGTACACAGTCCTCATTGATGAAAAATTAAGCACAGCATGAAAATTTAAAACAGAAAAAAACTAAAAAAATAATTCAAGCAAATGCTAATTTTTTAACAGTAATGCCAAATTTATTCTTTTTTTTTTTTTTTTGACAGGCAGAGTGGACAGTGAGAGAGAGAGAGGAGAGAAAGGTCTTCCTTTGCTGTTGGTTCACCCTCCAATGGCTGCCGCGGCAGGCGTGCTGCGGCCGGCGCACTGCGCTGATCCGATGGCAGGAGCCAGGTGCTTCTCCTGGTCTCCCATGGGGTGCAGGGCCCAACCACTTGGGTCATCCTCCACTGCACTCCCTGGCCACAGCAGAGAGCTAGCCTGGAAGAGGGGCAACCGAGACAGAATCCGGCGCCCCGACCGGGACTAGAACCCGGTGTGCCGGCGCCGCAAGGTGGGGGATTAGCCTAGTGAGCCGCAGTGCCAGCCCAAATTTATTCTCTAAATGTATTTAACCAACATAACATAGAAGAGATTTACAGACAATGTATATAAATATAAATATAAATTTAACATTACCTTGGGGCTGGCGCCTTGGTGTAGCGGATAAAGCCGCTGCCTGCAGTGTTGGCATCCCGTATGGACACCGGTTTAAGTCCCAGCTGCTCCATTTCTGATCCAGCTCTCTGCTATGGCCTAGAAAAGCGGTAAAGGACGGCCCAAGTCCTTGGGCCCCTGCACCCATGTGTGGGAAGACCCAGAGGAAGCTCCTGGCTCCCAGCTTTGGATCAGCACAGCCCTGGCTGTTGTGGCCAATTGGGGAGTGAACCAGCGGATGGAAGACCTCTCTTTCTCTCTCTGCCTCTCCTTCTCTCTCTGTGTAACTGACTTTCAAATAAATAAATAAATCTTAAAAAATTATTACCTGACTTACCTTAAAAGAAGGTAAAATGGCATCTTGAGTTTTGGGAGTAGATGACGTCTTTGGAAGTAGCATTTCAGGGGGAGAAGAAAGAATGCTAAATGTTGAGGCTTCAGGTCCATTTTCTCCTGAAGCATGTAGAAGGGATGTGCAGGATGGATTTTCTGAATGACTGCCATCATGTTTTTGTCTTATGAATGCTATCTCCCAAGCAGAGTCTGACCTAGGAATAAAAAAAATCACTCTAAGGATATGCACTGGATTTAGTAAAACTGAGTTCTAAGTTAATGTTTAATATATTATTAAAAATATTTCTTTAAGCATTAAAAATACTCAAAACATCTTAAACTATAATTTGTAAGGAGATGTGCTAAATGACCCATTTTGTCTTATAGATGGAACAGTTACCTCAATCTGGCCCTAGTAATTATGCTTTTTGCTTCCTCAAATGATACCCCAATCATAGATTCCTTGTTCACTGAAACAAGTTGGTCTCCTGGCTTCAAACGTCCATCCTAAATCAAAGAGAAACGTTTATTAAAAAATGAAAAAAAAAAAAACCGTAATGTCTTAAAAACTTAACTGATGAATTTAGAGCAATAAAAAGCTTTTGAAGAATGTCTAAAACAATGACTAAACAGAAAAATCTTAGAGAACCTCAACAGTAAAATGCTTCTGATTTAGGGCTGGTGTTGTGGCATAGTGTGTAAAGCCAACATTTGCAATGCTAGCACCCTGTATGTGTGCTGGTTCAAGTCCTGGCTGCTCTATTCTTGATCCAGCTCTCTGCTAATGTGCCTGGGAAAACAGTAGAAGATGGCCCGAGTCCTTGGGCCCCTGCAGCCATGTGGGAGACCTAGAGGAAGCTCCTGACTTCAGTCTGGCTCAGCCCTAGCTGTTGCGGCCATCTGGGGAGTGAACCAGCTGAAGGAAGATCTCTTTTCTCTCTCCCCCTCCTCTCTGTAACTCTTCCTTCTCAAAGAAAATAAATCGTGAAAATGCTACTGATTCAAGCCTAATTTGGTAATATACATGGAGTGAAATTGCATGTTTTGTGTATTCCGTTAGGACATTTGCTTGCTAAGGAATCTAATATATTAGGACATAGACCTGCTTTATAGGCTTAGCATTATGACAAAGCTCTGACTCTTTGATAGAATAGGCCAAATACTTATGGGGCTTTTCAGGACATAACATTCAATTATTTTAGTTACTGAACATCCATGTATTTTCTTCCCACCAAAATTTTCGATGCATTTTTGCTAGATCTACAGTCACTCCTGTTTCCTAATGCCTACTTGCTCATGCATACAGTGTTAATCGTGTTCTGGTAATAAAGACTGCCTGGATTGCCTCTGCTAACCCCAGCTCTGCTCAGAATGAGCCTAAATGAATAAGCGAGCATATCTGTTACAAGATTTAATGTAAGGGAAGTTTCTCAGTCTTCATTTGTCTTCTACTTCCACAAAATCAAGAGAAATTTTTCTTTAAATTCGTATTTGCTGAAATATATCCTTTGGATAATTGTTCTTTTTGCTCTGAACTGAATTATTTATGATCATGGCAATTTATGGCTATTTACTCTTAAATAAAAAAGGCTATTATTTTATTTAAAAAAAGACATGTAGTATTGTCTCTTTCATTGACTAATGAATACATAAAAAACTAAACAAATATGAAACATTCATAAACATTCATCAGAAGGTTTTCTGGGAACATAATATCTCAAATACTATGTAAAAGATGTTATAGTCTAAATGCACTACAATCTGTCATCTTTCTGAAATAGAAGTATTATTATTATTTTTTAAAAGATTTTATTTATTTATTTGACAGGTAGAGTTACAGACAGTGTGAGAGAGAGACAGAGAGAAAGGTCTTCCTTCTGTTGGTTCACTCCCCAAATGGCCGCTATGACCGGAGCTACGCTGATCCGAAGCCAGGAGTCAGGTGCTTCTTCCTGGTCTCCCATGCAGGTGCAGGGGCCCAAGCACTTGGGCCATCCTCCACTGCCTTCCCAGGCCACAGCAGAGAGCTGGACTGGAAGAGGAGCAACCAGGACTAGAACCGGTGCTCGTATGGGATGCAGGTGCCACAGGCAGAGGATTAACCTAGGGTGCCACGGCGCCGGCCCTGAAATAGAAGTATTATTAAAAAACAAACAAACAAAAAAAACTAACTTGAGCCACACTAACAGCAGTTCTATAAAACCACAACAAAAGACTCTAAATAACCAAACCAGCCTTCAGCAAAAAAAAAAAATTTAGAAAGCATTCTATTAACTGACTTTCAAATATACTTTAAAATCCCACTACTTGGTACATAGCCAAAGGAAATAAAATGAGTCTGGCAAACAGACACCTGTACTCCCACATTTACTGTAGCACTATCCTGAATAGCCAAAAAGTATCCATCCACTGAAGAATGAACTTAAAAAAATGTATACAATGGAATAGTACTCAGCCATAAAAGGATGAAATCCTGCCATTTGTAATAACATGGACAGAACAGGAGGTCGTTGTGTTAAGTGAAGTAAGCCAAGCACAGAAAGATAAATATCACATGATATCAATCTTACAGTCTTAAAAAAAAAAAGTGATCTCAGAAGTTAAAGGAATTATGGTGTTTACCAGATGCTTGGGAGGGTAGAAGAAGGGTAGGGTAGATGGGGAAAGGTTGATTAACAGGTACTAAGTTACAGGTAGATAAGAGCAAGAAATTCTAGATGCTTCTTATATGTTAATTCTTCTATGGATGCTCCTTATATGTTCAACAAACCAAAAGGGTTGACTTTGTAAGATTTTTAACACTGTTTTGTGTTGCTCAGGCCCAGATCTTATTGGAGTTACACCACAGATGCATTTAAATCAACTATCCCAAAACATTACTAAGACTTAAGTACACTAACTTGTACTATAACATGATAACTTTTAGTTTTAAGGATAGTCATTCACTAATGATTAGGGTGATGTCCTGATGAACAAAGAGACAAACCTCTTTGCAGCAGGAAAAAAGGCTAAGAAGAACTAGGGAAGAATAAAAATTTCTGTAGAGAGTTTATTTCATAGGAAAGCATAGAAAGCCTAAATAATCCTTAAATTTTCTATTTCAGTCACTCTAAATGAATTCACAGGTGTTCATTTCATATTCCATAAATTAGATATATGATTTATTTATACATATAAAAATAATTTCTCAATAAAAGGTCATACAGTTTGCCACACAATGTAGGTGTACTAGTTATTTGTTCTATATTCTAGAACTTGTATCAGAAGCAAAGGTAAAAAAGAATTTTTAAAACTGATTTTTAAAAAGGAGTAAATATCTGCCATTGTTAAATCTCAATCTAGGACATTAGGAATCTGCAAAATAACACCTTATAGAATCAGTTTAATGAAGTAGATTTTAACTGACATTTAATGAATACACTACTATTAACTTGTATCCCAAAGCCTGACAAGGCTAACAGACGGTGTCATTTGATCAAGACATTTACAAGGACACTGACAAGTAAAGAAGGTTTATTTTAGAATTGTGGTGGTACATAGTAAAAAAAATATGGTTATTTTGTTTTTATTACAAATGTTCTCAGCAGTAACAGCTCCTTTTGGGGACAGTGTTGTAGCACAAGGGGTTAAGCTTTTATGTGCAATGCAGGCATCCCAAATGGGAGTGCTGGTTCAAGTCCCAGTTACTCTGCTTCTGATCCAACTTCCTGCTAATCCACCCTGGGCCCCTGCCAACCTGTGGAGTTTCTGGTTCTTGTCTGAGAATAGACCATTGCTGCCATTGGAGGAGTGAGCCAGCGGATGGAAGATCTGTGTTTATCTTCTTTCTCTCTGCTGCTCTGCCTTTCAAGTATCTACCTATCTATATATCTTATAAATAAATTTTTTAAAAAAAATTCCTTTTATTGAATTTCCTTGGAAAATGGAAAATCCTACAATGATAACTAAAAATCACTGTCTTTCCTTTGGTCAGGTGCTTTCTGAAGTGGAAAGAGCACAGAGTTTGGCAGCCAGATAGACCTGGATTTGAATTTAAGCTCTATAAATTACTAGCCAGATCTCAATAAACAATGAAAAAGAGAGAAGGTGCGGGTGGAGCACTCAATCTTTGCCACTACAGTATCAGAACTAAATTCTAAGTGGTCTGGAGGTAGCTCTTGAAGTGATGAATCTTACAGAAATCACAATTGGTTGCCAGGTTTGCAGAGGAAAAGGCTAAGAAAACAGAGGTAAGCAACAGAGTTTAGGTGGACCTGCCAGTGCCCAAACACCCTTTTCAAGCTGCACAGTGTCAGTGTTACAGAGGAAAAGTTCCCACGAAGCCATGAAACCCATCTTGAAATACAGTACCCTGGGCTGGCGCCACAGCTCACTAGGCTAATCCTCCGCCTGCGGCGCCGGCACCCTGGGTTCTAGTCCCAGTTGTGGCACCGGATTCTGTCCCGGTTGCTCCTCTTCCAGTCTGGCTCTCTGCTGTGGCCTGGGAAGGCAGTGGAGGATAGCCCAAGTGGTTGGGCCCTGCACCCACATGGGAGAGCAGGAGGAAGCACCTGGCTCCTGGCTTTGGATCGGCTCAGCACGCCGGCTGTAGCAGCCAATTGGGGGGTGAACCAACAGAAGGAAGACCTTTCTCTCTGTCTCTCTCTCTCATTGTCTAACTGTGCCTGTCAAAAATAAATAAATAAATAAAGTACCCTGGTGTATTAAAGTGGAATTTTCTAGAAGGATGCAAGTCGGAGAAGACAACTGTGTCTTCTCACTGTGATTTCTGGTGTTTATATATTTTCTTCTTTCTAAAAAGTATTCATAGCTGTGAGGCTTTTTTCCTTCTCTTTCTCTGCCTCCTAGAATAAGATCTTAGCTCATCATGTGAATTTCTGAACCTGTTTAAAAGTCAGAACCTGCAAATGACAACAAAGCTATTTCTGTAAAAGTCTGGCATCTTAAACAAGTGAATTCTGCCCCAGTTGGACTAATGTACGAAAGACAACAACTTCAGGGATATGCTGAGGCTTCTTCCACACAGTCCTGGTTCCAACGCAGCAGTTACTGAGCAACTACATGTCATGGCAGGCAATGTGACAAACACTTCCACAAGCGGAACTTCAGAGACTGCATTTTTTCCATTGGCATTCATATAAACTTTTTTTTTTTTTTTTGACAGGCAGAGTTAGACAGTGAGAGAGAGAGAGAGAGCGGTCTTCCCTCCGTTGGTTCACCCCCCAAATGACTGCTACGGCCGGCGCACTGCGCCGATCCGAAGCCAGGATCCAGGTACTTCCTCCTCATATAAACTTTTTAATAATGTATTCCTGACCACACAAACACTTAGGTCAAAAACTATCAACACTATTCATTTTTTTTTAAAATATTTATTTATGGAGTCCAGTGCTGTGGCGCAGTGGGTTAATGCCCTGTCCTGAAGCACCAGCATCCCATATGGCACCGGTTTGAGACCTGGCTGCTCCACTTCCTGTCCAGCTCTGCTATGGCTCAGGAAAGCAGTA